CCATCCACCCTTCGACTGAAGAATCCAGCTGTTGGCAGTGTTTTGGAACATGGAAGCCAGTTTCTAGCTGGTTATTTGCTAGTGCAAGCTAGTAGACTGGTTTAGACCAGCAACAAACCAACTACCAGTTAGTCCTACTGCTGGCTTTGGAATATGGTGGCAGTTAATGATCAATTATTTAACCATGTTCCAAATCACAGCTGCCATTAAATGGATTTTCCAACATGGTTGGAGGCACCCTCCATAATTCGCACACTGAAATATCCACAAAAAGACATTACCCAGTCCTCGAAGTGTTTGCTGCCGTTTTGCAGCAATTCCTCGAACTGAATGGTGCAGTTGGCTACAAAGTCGTCGTAGCCAATCGGCGCGTCGTGAAACACCGACAGCTCGATCTTGCGGCCGTCGTGCACCTCGGTCACAAACTCATCGTGCCAGACGGGACTGTTGGTCTTCTGCTTGGTCGAGGTCTGACCCACGCGAAAATCATCTACGTTGAGGGCGATGTACGTGTCCAGCAGGAAGGTTTGCGTCTTGGGACCGACGGCGTGTCTCAGAGACCAGGCTGTGGGCTTCAGGTCCAAAGCCTCGCAGATCTTAATCTTCAGCAGACCGTTAAAAAACACCATGGCCCCTTTTGAAAGCTTTAGTAACAATATTCCACTTCAGCGCCTGGTTAATTATTCAACCAGTGTATGCCACGGTCCACCGGTTTGTGATTGTTTCTCCTTATGAAATAACGGTAAATGCCCTTCTTCGTCCTCGTGGATCTGCATGCAAAGTGTAGAAGGTCCTCCAGACAGAAAGAGAATCTATTGCTATGATCTACGGACAACCTGCATGTGATCTTGAAGCTGTCCGAACGGCGCTGTAGGCAGTCAGCAATGCAAGTTGGATTGAAAAAGGACAGCTACAGTGTATCAGCAGCGATACGACCAGCATTCCACACCTCAAAATACGCCAGAAATATATGCTGGATCTCCTCAGAGTGAGCAGCCCGTTCCCTCGTCTGGCTGGAGCGCTGGATGTGTCTCCTCCGCGCATTGGGAGGAAAGTTATCCTCGCAAAAGCGTCTTTCGGTTCGCCCTAGACAGGAGAACCAGTGTTTACAAGGGTTCCGCACTCACTTGCTTTTTCCAGGATCCTTGTTTGTCCGTCGGTACTCAGTTTCCTGCAGACCTGCCTCTTTTTCTCCCGACTGTGTGTGTGTGTGTGTGTGTCTGAAGGCTGGTCCAGGAAATGCGCAAAACACGTCAGTTATTGCGCGGAGGACTGAGTGAGAGCGGCACTGCTGGAACCGCTGCTTCGGCTCTGGTCAAGCATCACCCACAGGGCTGTAAAGATGAAGCGTGTGTGTGTGTGTGTGTGTGAATACCAAGTGTGAATAATGCACCCTGCTGAAGTCGTGCAATGCAGACGACCATACGGACCGTATGAAGACCGCCGGTCTTAGTCATAATTCTTAGTTATTTTTTACTTGTTTATATCATTAATGATTATTTGAAATTACATGATCTACCGCCATGCCATTGCCATTTCAGTAGCAATGTATGGATGTGTTCCTTTTCTTGCATAAGGTTGTTTACAATGCTGTACTGTGAGAACTGCAGTGGAAAATAAATCTTTAGCCGTTTTTCTCCACCACATTTATTTTTCTGATTGAGTTGAAACTCTGAAAATTCACAAAGGCGAATACAAAGTTATTGTGGCAAGTTAAGTGGATGCAAGCCAAGATTACCTAATTTTACAGTGTGTAATTGCAAGAAAAAAAAGTAATTTAACTAGATGAAGACATGTTTTTGTGTATCATGTACATTAAAATGTGTAAATAAATAAAAAAAAGTGATAATTTGTTACACTTGATCTGAGGACAGACTGACAACAAGTTTGTTCTTGAAAATGTGATATGTCGAGGTCCACCTTCTCAACATCAATAGTCAACCAAAAGCGCCATCTCGTGGATGGAATTTCTATTACAGCATAGATGGTGTTCGATGATCATACGAAGTATTAAGAAATTATAACTAATGTGTGCTGCCTACTGTTGCATCATTCATTTAAATGTCAGTGTGCCATCAATGGCGTCATGAAAGCGCATATAAATTTCTTAAGCGTGTTTTACAAATGCTTCCCTGTTCTCTTTTCTTGAGATGCTTCATAGTGTAAAACATTTTATTTAGGAAACAGTTTTTGCTCAGGGTGAATTTAAAATGTGATAGAGGAGCTCTGTGTCTATCATTTAAACAACTTTTATGATAACGATTAAGATTAAAATCACATTAAGTGAGTTAAAAAATCCAGTAGATGGCAGTGTCCTTATAGAAGTATTAGGTTGACAGTTACTGTATCTGCATTATATTGCTTTGCCTTCTAAACTGTTAGCATCTTTTGAGTAGATCGCTTGATCAGGTTAATTCAAGTAAATTGTATATGAGCATACATACATATTCCATGCTCAAATCTACGGAATATATCAAGTGTATAATTTAAAAACATAAAAAAAGATACAGAAACCATTATGTAGAGACAAGGAAACAAGATACAATGTATGCAATGACCATTAAAAACTCCATTATTGCAGCATGCTTTGTTACAAATACTTTTATTAATCTGTTTTTGTCTTATAACCCACATTCTGGGTTAATTAATGCTTGTATCCCTTTATTTTGGTTCATGATGTAACCACAAGTATGTTTGCTCAGTTCACAACACTAGATTTGCAGTGACCAATAAGGCTGAGCCGCTGGAGAAAAGCTCTCTCAAATATTATTTATTAACAGCATACCACTCTATGGATAAAAGCACCCTAGACCCATCTGAACACTAATTCAGTTGACCAAGAACTGTTTTTATGAATTTATTGTCATTAATGTAAGCGCAAGTATAGGTCAGAATCACTAAAGTGCAAAACTATGTTGAATAATACTGGGATAATAGCTACTATTAAAATTACATCACATATACATTACATGCCATAAAACAGATTTTACATATCAAAGGTTGACAGTCTTTTTAAATATTTAAAATGGCATCAGCTTTAGAAAACGCTTTGTTTAATGCGTTTCATTTTGAGCTGTGTGTCCTTTTGTTTCAGACACAATAATTAGATGAGTGATGTCTGCTGGAGGATGAATGGTGATGTTGTTTCGACATCAGGACTTTCCCTTAAGGCTAATGATTCTCAGCCTGCAATGACATTAGTCGAAGATGTTCTAGCTCACACTACGGCCTCACACAAATCTAGCATGTGGTGTGACTCCAAATGATGACATCACCAGTAGGAGGAAAATGAATGCCCCTTTGAGACACTGATAGTGCTGGGTTTATGAGTGTGTAGGCTCTGTGTTGTAAGAATAGAAGCGGCCATTTAGGGCTCTTTGAGGGTCTTAAAGCTTACTTCATTCCTCCCCCAAAATGCCAGTGTCTATGTTCATATACTTAGTGCATTAGAAATCACTGTCGGCAACTGCCAATAGTGGAAATCAGACCTCTGTGGACAATGCTTCTTTGTTTGGACATAAATAGACACATGAAAGGCCATTCTGAACAAACTTAAACCTCATGACCAGAATCATATGTAACATGGCACATTCAATTTCGTGCATCAGTTTGGATTATGTAAAAAAAAAAAAAAAAAAAAAAAAAAAAACTCATAACATTCCCCATATGTGAATTAGAATACTGTATCTTCTCTAATAAATCATATAGGCATACATTTATGGGTGAGCATTTTTGCCCCGCTGGACTTTTATATTTGCTCTCTGATTACACAGAAAAAAAAAATCTGTAAAAACAGGGAACAATGTATTCTATAAATATGAAGGATGTTTCCGTATTTATTTTTTTACAGGTATTTTACCTGTATTAGAATTTTGCACTTGATTACATTTGTTTAGGGTCAACAGAAATATCAATAAAATAACTAGATAATGTCCTGGCAAAATTATCAGAACATTTTCCGTTTTTTTTTTTCTTTTCTTTTCTTTTTTCATACACATCTCAAATTAATTGTAGTTAAACAGCATTCCATTATGGAAATGACATTAAAAAATTGAATAAAAAATTTGCTTAAAACCAAAAACTATTTTATGTATCCATTTATGATTTTATGTATCCTAAATATGCAAAAGAAAGAAAAACCCACACTTTTTGACGAAAGCAGCTTGATTGATGATGCATAATGAAAAAAAAAATTCTCACTGTTCTAATAATAATCTAAACATTTATTTTTTATTATAAACATTATATATTTATTTATTTCATTGATATAACTGGATAAAATAAATATGAACAAATATTTTGATTTGAATGCTTAAGCCATATATTTTTATTTGTATATATTTGTATCTTTTTTTTCATTGCAATATATATATATTAGTGCTGTCAAATGATTAATCGCGATTAATAAAAAAATATCCAAAATAAAAATCCAAAATAAAAGTTTTTGTTTACATAATGTGTGTGTACTGTGTATATTGATTATGTATATATAAAGACACACGCATACATTTAGAAAATATTTACATGTATATATTTATATCATGTATACATTTATTTAATATATAAACATAGCATATTTGTCTTATAGTTTTTTACGATTGCTTAAGCACAATTTTGAAAACAGGGCCCGGTTTGTCAAAACACTACACACCATTAACACAACCCTACACCAAAGTAGCACAACACTTCAGATCATTTGCAAAATGGAACACTTTAAATAGTGTGAAGCTGACAATGTGCTTACAGTTTAGCAAATCTAGCCTTGTGTTTTGCTCCTTGAGTGTAAGGTTTTGCTAATTGTTGGAAAAGTTTAATTTTAGTGTGTAAGCAATCGTAAAAAACTGTAAATATATAGCCTACATGCATGTGTGTATTTATACTTAATAAATGTACACAGTACACACACACACATATTATGTAAACTGTAAATTATGTAATGTGTAAACACATTATGTTTGAATGCGATTATAATCGTTTGACAGCGATATACGATATATGATATATATATATATATATATATATAGTAATTATTATGTGATATTGTAAACATTTCCTTTTTAAGATTTAATGACAATATGGATCACTCTCCTATTGATAAGCAATACACAAACACACACTACTGAGCTGTTAAAGCAGATGGCTAGCTACTTTGTCTGATTGACTATAATCATTAATCATTCATCCCGCGGCACTCATGCATTATCTCGAGTCTCCACGTTTTCAGGGTGGCAACCGAGGCAACGCTCTCTCAATCTGCAATCTCATTGGTTGGCCACACGCTCGTCACTCCCCCATCCGTCGGAAGTGCGTTCTCCTCCTGCGTCTCCCAACAGTCTGAACCAGCCTGCGAGCTCGCACTGTCGGCCTCTTCCTCACGCCTTTGCTTGGTTTGTCAAGCAGAAGCACGGGTTTGGTGGATCGGAGCTCTGGCCTCGGATTATGCTGCCAATCCAACCGACCAGAAGGATGTGGGATTCAGCTGCTCTCCTGCTTTTTAAAAGCCAACCTCAGGAACGAGCACTTCTGTGTTTTATTCGCCAGGGTTGAGCGTATGTGGGACAGTAGCGAGTCTAACAGCCTTCAGACAAAAGACGGCTGCGAAGTAATATTCACGAATAAAAAGGGTAAGTACGGCAGTTTGCGGTGTCCGCTCTCTGGATTGCAATGCGCCGTGCGTTGTGTATTTTAGCACGCGTTGTTTCTAGCCGCTTTTATGCGTTATTTAATGTAACGGAACGCGAGTGATGTCACCGCTGCTTTTGCATGTTTCCCCTCTGCGAATGTTACAATGTAACATTCCAACATCCTCCAGTGTGTGAGTCTCTCTCTCTCTCTCTCTCTCTCTCTCTCTCTCTCTCTCTCTCTTCTGTTTA